AAAAGTTCCTAAGTGAGGAATGAGGGAAGCGGCTGTAGGGCCTTCCGCGTTTGTGCCCCTTCGCACCGCCCGCCAACACCCTCCCTGGCAGTTCCGCCAGGAGCAGCTCCAGGTTTTAAATACGGAACGATACCTCCTCCTTCCTTGATGAACACCTCTGCTTTTCTCTAAGTTCTCCTTCTTTCCCACCTGGATTCCCCCTCCCCAAACCCAGTCCTCTGCACGCTTTGCCAGTGCTCACCTTCCCGGCAAGGCTGCAGGAGCACCCGCCTGCTGGGAGGGCAGCTCCACATGGAGATGAAGCTGCTACTCCAGGCCCATCTGCAGATGGGCAGCAATTAAAAGCTGGAAATAGGTTACTGGCTGCTTTCCTGTTCACTTTCCACTGTCTCAGATATAAGCAGTCCTTAAGAAACGCCCAGACATCTCTTGCTACTTAAGGTCTTACATACACCTCTGATCCGGGTCTTAGAGACAGGGGCAGGTTGGTCAGAATTGCGACTAGCCCCATGTTCTGCGGGTTGCAAAAGCCTGCTGCTTTTCTCCTGGTAGAGATGGGTACATCAAGGACCTGTCGCGAGCCTTACCCAGGGGACCAGCACTTGCTGCACAGAAAGGTCCTGCCTGGTTGTCAGCATTTGGACACGGAGCAAACGACTTTCCCAGGGATGCAGAATGCCCCGAGGCAGCACAAACTTGCGCAGTGTTTTATGCCAGACCAGCTTAGAGGCAAAAATAAACAAACAAAAAGGAAAACAAAACAAAAAAAAACATTTTGAGAATACCAACGCGGTTGCCTATTCTTAGGGGAACAACAATCAGTGAGTTACAGTCACCAAATATAACATGAATCCCTACAGACCCTTACAATGTTCCCCTCTTACATTCAAACTAAAAGTAATTAAGGCTCCAAAACTAAATTAGAAGAGTGGCAATTTATTAAAAGCAATTAAAGGGAACTGCACAAACAGGCTGCAGCGAGACTCAGGCTCTCAGTGACTGTTTATTATTTTTAATTCTTTACCACATACATCTCAGCTTCCCTACATATTGCCTAAGTAAGATCTAATCCCTGAGCTGTAGCAAAGCTAAATATAATAATTAGCATTTATAAAGCATCCGGTATCTTCAAAGGACTTAAGCATCAGTTAATCCACACAACCACCTCAGGATGTAGTTAAGTGCAGCAAGGTAAGTGGTTTGCACGCACAGACATAGGCAGTCCGAACACCTGACTGCATCCGAAATCTGTCCGTAGGCCCGGGGGGCACCGCGGGGCCAGGGCTGTGCCTGCCTGAGAACAAAGCACCAGGCTCATCAGAAATGCTAATCCCAAACAGTCACATTTTGTGTTCAGATCTATTTTTCCTTTCTTCATTGTCTCAAAAAGGAAAAAAAAAAAAAGAGAGAAAAATGAAAAAAGGAACCCACAGAAGCATTACAGCAAATCACAATTCTGGTGGAAGCACATAAGCAAATTCTGATCAAAATAATTAGAGCGTATCAGTGTAAAAGACAAACGTGAAGCAGGCTAGACAATCCAAATCTTTGTGTGTACCCAGCAGTCACTGGGTACTGCTTTGAACGGAATTAAATATATTAGACACATTTAAAATGTTAAGAGGGGAGACGCCGGCTGATTTGCCAAGAGGAACCCAGTTTTCGCCATCTATCGCTTTGATGAAGACAGAAAAGGGAGGCATTTGCCCTAGGATGCAGCATCTACCCTGTGGCAGGTGGCCCCGCGCATTAACGCAGCTGTCAACACGAACAGCACATGCAAGCCAAAACAGATGGGGGAACTCCGTGCTTTCTGCCTCAAATTCGCATACTCAGATGTGGCCCATACGAGGTAACATTGCACTGCCCAAGGCAGAGAGAAGCCATTAAAACACAGTTGCAGAGCGAAACAAAAGTACAGAAGCGGAAAATGCCAAACCTTGGCTCTTCTGAGCTGTCTATATACACATTTTTTTCATAGTTCATCCTGCCCAGAGGTTCACTTGAATCATTATGTCAAAGAAAAGAGAGGAGAATGCTGTGCCCATTCCATATCCTGTCATTTTCTACTGCAATTCAGATTATAATGGTTGTGCTCAAGGGAAACCTCCCCCTTCCCCTGGCTGCTTTAGAGTGAGCAGATGGCGAAATTCTAAATGTGCTTTCTGAATTTCCTTCCATTTATGGGTCTTTAAAATGTTTAGTCAAGTCTTCTTTTGTTTGGATACGAAAAAGGAAAGCAAAGTTTAGTCAATGTTTTTTTGTTTGGATACGAAAAAGGAAAGCAAGTTTTCATCACACTGTTTATGAAGAGCCCTCTCTCACAGATTGGACTTTTTTGCAGATTTGGACTTTTTTGCAGATTTGGACTTTTTCTAATATCTTGCAGAGATAGCCAGGGAGAAATGTAGCCTTAAAACCACAAAACTAAACATTTTGCCTGCAAGTACATTTTAGCACAACTATTAAATGATAAAAGCGTTCCCAAACTGTTTGCTTTGTTGGGCTGTTATAATAAAAAATGGTCTCATGATACAAAGTATCTATCAATGAAACTATTTTATCACAATGACTTTTTCTTACTTAATTAGCAATCCCATTTTCCAGGATCTTCCAAAACATATCCAGAAATAAAAGTGCTACAAACTTAAGTAGCTTTTTAATAATGGGTGGTCCTTTACTTACCTTTTTCCTTTCTAGTACATATTATGACAAGGTTTCCAGTAGGTAGCATGAGACCACGAACTCAGACATAATTAAGACGGAGTCATCACATATATTATCTCTTAGCCATTTTTGACAGTTTTCACTTTCCAGATGCTGGAAAGAAATACTGATGATCTTAAATTTCCACTCTGTGCTTATTCTGGAATGAAGGCGTACCAGAGAACTGAGGGTCTGTCTCGGGTGCATAGTATTACCCAGATGAAGTATGTTAGCAAGGATTTCGAGGATTTAACTTTGATCTAGCTGTGACCTTTTGCTGCTGAGCTCGCACCGCGCAGCTTCCCAGCCCTCCGCTGTGTCCTTTAGCTGTGCACACACTGTTCCTCTGTTTGATTTGCCGAGAGTGGCTTAGAGGAGAGACACATGGTCAGCTGCTACCGTTCAAATGCCTCCGTGCCTGGGGAAGACAGCTGGGAACGGCTCGGGCTATTAACCGGAGTCACAGAGAGCTGTTAACTCTATTATTTATTATTTCGGATAAGACCTAAACACTGCCACCTACGGCCAAGGTTCACTGTGCTAATTACAACCTTGAAATCATCCTTCTGAAACCCTCTCCTATTTATTTTCCACCCTATCATTTGTGATGTATACATTCAGCCAGTACAGCAGTGCTAAAAGAGTAAATGACTTGGAAAGAACAAAATAAAAATTCACCAAGAGCAAAAACTAAACAAACAAAGCAAAAGCAGCAGCCAACACAGCACCTACAGAGGCAGATGCAGTCCGTACTCTACTTCGCCCTCACCTGGGCAAAGGGCAAAAATGATATAAAAGGTTTATTTTTTTAGTGCCATTTGGTCATCTAGAATGGGGGCAGGTGAATAAGGTCCTTTCCCGTCACTTCCATCCGAATTGGTAGCTTTCAGGTAATTAATATGGAAGGTCCAGCAGGGCTGCAAAGCGTTTTCCCTAGCACCTCCTACCAGGAACACTCGTGCGGTCGGTCACAAAGCTGCTCCTCCCCGGGCTCGTACCCGTGCTAAGCACCGCAGAGCACCCTGCTCTGGCTGGAGCTCTTCGCACAGGGAGGTCTTGGTAAAACCACCCCGGTCTGGGTTACGCTTCTTTAGGGATTCAGCCTCTCTGGGCACCATCACTGACCTAACCACATAAACACCGGCTAAGCAGCGTTCTTCAGTAACGCATTTTCCTCCAGCCTCTAACATACACGGAAAAGAACAAATCATCCAAAAGAATGGAAATGTTTTTAAAACGGGTATCTTACAAGCAAATAAAGAAATCCATGAAATCGAACCAGCAGGTTCTATGCTGTTGTTCATTTAGCAATTTTCTTCATAGAATGTCATTTGAATATTGGATTTGTAGTTAAACAGAAGGAACACACACATTTCTGTATACATCTACACAACTTTGGTATTCAATCAACATTCTAATTTCATAAAAGCTTACTCCATTTGCACCATTTTAAGCCTGTGTACAGCAAGTTTTTTGGTTTGTTTTTGTTAAGCTCAACACAGCAGAACCTTTAGTAAGGGAAAAAAAGAAAGAGGATTTATCTTAATACCCCAAACCAAAAATTCTATATAATCCAACAGTTTCCATCTATGGGTTGGGAAGGGATTTGCAAAACAATAGGATTTTTTTTTAAACAAGATGTAAATGTTAAAATACAAAGAAAAATACAAATTTAATATTATTATAAATTTAAAATACAAAAATACAAATGTTATACACTTTAACATTAACTTCTTTGTTTATGATTGCACAAAGATAAGGAGTATTTGTGCCCTGTCTCAGTAAATTTGATTCAAGTTTGGTACCTTAATCACAAGCTTTCCTTTTCTCTCATTCATCTCTTTCAAGAGATGCTCAGTATCAAGATATGAAGCAACTACGTTAATGCTTTCTGAATGCCGATATTCTTGCAGTACAGGACTTAGTAGTTTTATCCCAGTATTTCACCACAGAGTAAAATAATTTTAAAATTTCATTAAGGAATACAAGATTTCCTTCCTCATCTTCATTAAATATTGATTTGCAAGTACACAGCCATTTTTCACCATTAAAAAAATGCATACCCAGTTATGCATGATTTAAGACTACAGACTGCCAAAGTAGCTGCCCTACCCAAGCATTCATTGTTCTTGGGCTCAGAGAAAGGGGAAAACATTTTCCAGACAAGTGAAGACCATCATGAAGAAACGCGGCTTTGAACCTAAACTGCAGTCGTTTATCCTGATGTTGTTCTCCTTTTGAAACATTGGCTCTAATATCTACCTTTAGTCCAATAAAACGTGAATTATAAGATGTAAAGGGTTTCACTACAGTCTCATTTCATAGGAGGCACTTACTGTAGATCCTAAGCAGTGGAAGTATAGCAGGTCTTACCAATTTTGTTCAGTGTGCTGTTGCTAAAATTAAAGGTTCACATTATATCCTTATTAAATCCATCCTCTGATTAAAGCTACAGACTTTACATTAGGAACTGACTGACGTGCTTATATTTACTGTAATGCAACATCAGCTCAACCGTCATTCATTTATCTCTCATGCATTGCTACAAACTTGAAGAAAGCACGTAGATATTCTGAATCCTGCACGAATCACTTGACTATTGCATGTGTGGATGACAGGACAGGCATCTCAAGAAAAGAAGAGCAACCTGGACAACCTATGACAGAAGTTTCTTAGCCTTCTTTGAAAATATGGACAGCAAACTAAGTACTTTAGCACGTTTTGAAGTCCGGGGTAAGGAGTTAGTGGTAAGGAGATAGGGGTGCTCAAGACTATTCCCACAAAATAAGCAAATCAGGTCTGGATACACATTTTCATTTCCAGAAAGTATAATGCATTATGAATTGTACCCTATATACAGGCCTTTCACAAGGCCTGTGGGTATTACACAATTGTTTTCTAAGACAAAATTTATTCTCTATTTTTTTTAAGGGAGCAATTAAAGATATGTTATATTAAAGCTCAAAGCTTAATTGTAATGCACATTGATACTATCTAAACACTAGGCTGGATTAGACTTTAGATCAATCCACAGTTGCATTTGGAACTGCTTCCAAAAAGCTGTTATAGCATTAACTTCCTTATATTTAATCCTCAGCAGAGGACTTTTGAAAATGGATATTTGTCCATAGGGTAAAAGCAGAATGACATTTCCCCTTTGTAATAAAAACTACTTAAAAAAAGCTGAAAGAAGGTTTACAAGAGACAAGCATCACTTGTCCCAGCAGAATCTTTCTGTTCTTGAAAACACACCCCCTCTACTCAGTCATCTCAACCAACAAAACAATGTAGTTACCAAGTTGCTTTTATGTAATCCATTTAACTTTACAATAAATCAAGAATAAGCTCTTGGAATGCTGTTGGCACCAAAAAACAAATACACATTGTGCTTGATTTAACCCATTTGTTGCTTGTTACCATCAGCTGATAATTTTCTACGTTTGGCTTGTGTGAATAAACTTTGGTGATCAAGATAAAAACTAGAGGGATATGCAGTGAGATTTTAAACCAAGGGAATATAATCCAAAACTTTACCCAAGTAATGCCTTCAAACCAGTGTGATCTTTAATGTACACAATGCCAGGAATAGCGACAATGCTTGACAGCCAGTAAGTTTTCTTTACTCATGACTGTCTGTATTTTCCAGAACTCCGTTACACCATTTCCTCTAAATTGGAAGTGCTACCACTTGATCCTTACGTCATGGTTGTATCCTTCACGAATGGAATAAACATTCCCAGTTCTGACTGGACCATAATATGAAGTGAAACAACGTATTGCTGCTAGAATTACCAGTAGGTCATCTTGGCATATGGAGATCTGTTGCTGAGCTTTGCTATTCCCTTACATGATTCTTGGCTTGATGGTTTTAAAAACATGGTAGTGATTCCCTTATATCTTTTACATCTCCAACAGCACGTCTACACTAGTGCTTTAGCTCAAGAGCAGAAGGTACTCTAAAGCTCCTGATCATCCCCCACTAACGGTGCTTTTGCTTACATGGCAAAAGCACAGAGTACAAAAAACCTGATTTTTCTGTGGCTGAAGCTGAACTAGAAGACTCAAGCTGCTCCGAGTGTGCTCCAGCAACTAACAGGCACTCGGCCTGGGCAATGAGAGAAGAGCCAGGCTGAGGAAAACTCTTCAGCCACAGACATCCTGGGGACAACAGGTTCTCAGTGTGAGGGGGCTGCGCTCCTCACTAGGGCGCCTGTGCTGACAAGCTGCCACTTCAGCTGTTTGTTATGGCTACTTTTACTGAGCCTCAAGAAGACTGGCTTTCATTAGTATGCTTTAGCATTAGCATTACTGTACTTCAGTCCAAACAAAGATCCTCCACAGAACTCCTGCATATCCCAATTTCCCTGATTTCTGCCATCCTTTTCACAGTCTTCTCCTCCTTTACTAAGGCCAGTTAGACAACTCGGAAGCAAATTAAATGTGGTCCAATGACTATCTTGCTAGGCCTTGAATCTACTTACTGGTCTCCAAAAACAAACACTTAAAAAAAAAAGTGCCTAATATTAAATTTCTAAATTTATACTTCCATTACTAAACAAGTTAACCTGATCTGGATAGATGCCCAGTGCATCAGAGAGAAATTTATATTCCCTTGTGAGCTAATGCCCGAGTAATACGATTTAAATACAAACAACTTCATCTTGTGATAAATACTTTGTAAAACAAGGTCATTTCATGACAGAAAAAAAATAGGAGCGTAGCTTTCACTTAAACGATTGCTTTTGAAAAAGGGCAGTGGGAGTGGGTGTCATACTATCTTAGAAAAGTGAAGTAGTAAACACAACTGATCAAGTTAACCTTTCAAAGCAATTTCTTCCTGACCTTTATCAAAGGGGAGTGTTGAGGCCTTTTCTCTGTAGTTCCCTCATTTGCTTTTTCAACACAACCTTCTTTAACAGTCCTCCATTACCTATACTGTATCTCAAAAGAAGCAATTTCTTGATCTTTATCAAATGGGGTGTTGAGGCCTTTTCTCTGTAGCTCCCTCATTTGCTTTTTCAATACAACCTCCTTTAACAGTCCTCCACTACCTATACTGTATCTCAAAAGAAGCAACAGGGAAGAGAGCTGCTGAGTTTCGCTAGCACAGTGCCAGTGCCAGCATTTGTTTAACAAAGCGAAGTGAGGAGAGAAGGTGCCCTGTCTCACCAATATTAGAAGGAATGGACCGGAAAGTTTAGATCCAGGTTTGTAAGGATTCTACCTGAAAGAGAAGTAAGGCAGGGCAGAAAGATTTAAAGAAATAAAAGACAGAAAAAAATCATAAGGAGAGTGAAGCAAGTTCTGGTTTTGTTTTAAGTTGTATTTCTTGATGTAAATTTGCTTTTTTTGCTTTTAAGGACAAGTATGCTAAATCAGCATTATTTTGATTCCTTTCTATTTCTCAAGCAAGTTCTGGTTTTAAGTTGTATTTCTTGATGTAAGTTTGCTTTTTTGCTTTTAAGGACAAGTATGTTAAATCAGCATTATTTTGATTCCTTTCTTATGACTAACAAAAGGTTATTTCACAATTACAGCTTCTACAGGATGAGCTGTTTTCTAAGATCAGCAATAACATCCTGGCACAGTCAGGCCCTTGTTAAGGAAGCCCCAAAATGTAACGTTGCCATTCCAAATATTATTGCATCAGAATGACTTCCTGCCGACAACGGAGCAACGCAACCCATTTGTTCCGTCTAGTCTGCCAGGGCAGCTTATCTCTCTTATTAGTAAACGAAAAGCAGTAACTCTATTATAGTTGGAGGGGCGAGGTTAAAAGAAGCCTCCATTATACTGTACTTGCTTGGCAGAAGGTTGCCCACGAGTCTTCAGGCCATGCAAACTCGCCGCATCCCCACAAGCAGGTACAGATTAAACACACAGGTTCTCAAGGACGAGCAGCCTGGCGAGGAGAGGGCTAAGATTAATTTAGATTCCTATATTTAACTGATAGCTTCCACTTCAAAGAGATGTAGAAGGCAGGACTTAATACACAGGAGTACGAAGCCTCATGCTTCAGTTGAAAATACTATAGTCTTATCAGGCATATTTTAAGGAAATTTATCATAAATATTTAAAGAGTGCCTTGCTTAATGCAAACAGAAGCAACAGGACATAACACCATGTGGCTTTCTGAGACCAGCCCGCCTTCAAGAGGATCTTTAGTCAATGCGCTGCCTTTTAAATTCACACTTACAACCGCGGCAGCAGGCCAGACGCTTCCCTTCCCAAACCTACTAGTTATTCTGTGAACAGCATTTAAACTTCCAAGGGAACTTGTTTCTTTTTGTTTATTTTTCTTAAGCATCGATGCAAACTATATTTAGGTTTCCAGGCAGAGCTCACTATTGTAGTTATTTTAAAAATCAGAATTTCCCAGGGTAACAGCTTTAAATACTGACAGCCAGTGGGTTGTCAGAGAACAACTCTAAAGAAGCACTGTTGCACAGAGGCATGAAACCTTTGTGCAACACATGGTTCTTGTACCAAGTTCGGCGTTATTACAGCAGCTCGAGGCTGTATGAACCGTGCATGCTATGGGATTTCACCTGTACACAGTGGAGAGAGAAGGGGTGAACAGGCAGAAAGCCCCTCCCATGCACACAAACATCTGTTCCACAAAACAGTCACAAATGCTCTAGAAGCACCTAGAAATGATGGAAGCAGAAGGGGAAAACAAAAACAAAACAAAAACAAAACCCCACACCCCAAACATTTCACTACAGAATTGCCCCCCTTTCAAAAAGCTCTCCATTCAGCATAGTCTCCTGGAAGTTCATGAGGAAAAGAAGAGCTGCTGAGGAAATACAGAAACAATAATCAACATAAGTAATTAACTGCTGTATTCAGAGGCCTCACTAACTGCATCGGGAAGCCAGAAGTAAACGGAAACAGGATACTTTCCCCAGTTTTGTGAGTGGGAGAAAAACAAAGCAGCAGGGTCGCACAGGTTCCCATGATAGGAATGGTAGTCTGAAAGATAAACAGTTTGGCCCGGTTTGGTAAAAACAATCAGGAAGCAATAAAGATCCAAATTCACAAATATTTTTATTGAAGAAAGTCAGAAATAGTCAGAGTGGCTAGATCTTTTATATAAGAACTTAAATATTTGCTTTGGTAGAAAAAAAATAATGCATAATGCCCACTTCAAATTAAATATTTCATTCAAAAATTTAAGTGAACCAAAACATTTACAAAATATTTATACTGAGAAAACTATGTTTCCAACAAGTGTTATTCTTTTAACATATTATCCAGTGCAAAATAAATCTGTCATCTGCCACAGAATTCAGAGGAAAAAAAAAGCACTCAATCAGAATTTTATTTCGTTTTGCACACATTTTAAAATTCTCAATTGAGAAAAGGCCAAAGATATAATGGAAAGGGACTTTAAGCATTACTATATTCATGACAAACAGCATCCTATAAGAAAGAGCTTACAGTAAGAGTTAGTGTGGACTGGCAAAGAGGGAGAGGGAATTCTAGCAATTCAGCAGTGATTTAACCGAGAACATGTAGAAACTGTTCGGTCTTCTCAAGCAGTTCTTTGCTCTAGGTTTTCCTCTACACAGTGAGACCTAGAAGGCAGGCTTATAGAGCACTTGGGTTTTGTATGTTACTGAGGGGGAAAGAAAAACATTTGCCAGACTGACATGTTCCAACTCCCACAGGGAGCAGTTAGTCACTCAGTTAAATAGTTTCCATCATTCCAAGTGCTGGGTTTCTTGCTCTTTTGGACAGGAGGAGAGGGGAAAAAGGAGAAGAGGTGACATTATAATAACAAATTTCTGGGCAATCACTTAATTCGTTACCTAGAGTGCATTTCTGAAGACAACGTTTGCTGAAAATCATCCTTGAAAGTAGAATAGTTTTCATACATAACCAAAGCATAAGATATATTTTACATTAATGACCTAGCAAACTGTCCCTTAACTGTGTTCCCAAAATAGAACTTTAAAGTATATATTCTCTAAATACCTGGAATAGCAGACCTTATCAGAGAATGTAACAAATATACGCGGTTCAAACAAAGCTTGGGGCAAGAGGTTTTATAAAAGCACAGAATTCTATTTCCAGTGGAAGATGTTCAAATAAACTCCAAAGGAAACTAATTAAAAAGTAAATTTTCTATGATAGCAAGACCATCTGAAACTAAAATTGAAATGTAAATTTTCTATGATAGCAAGACCATCACCAAACATATTCAAATATGCAACTTGTCTTTAAAACTTAAGGTTTTATTGACAGGAATGCAAATATTACCATGGCATATCACAAACACAACTCAAAACATTTCATTATAAACAGTTCCTTAAAAACATCTGCAATCATTTAAAACAGATACATTTCATACTTAATCATTGTATCTTCATTCAAAATATTTTTCTAGTACCCTATATTAGATGGCTACTAAAAAAAACATTAAAATACATGGTAAAAAATTCCAGATATATCTGCTGATTTTAGGTGCCCACTTTTAGGTACTTCATGCAGGCTTTTTCCAAAAAGTGGAGGATTCACCCTCTGGAAAAGTTAATATTCTTATTTTCTCAAAAGTTGTATCACCAAAAAAAAAAAAAAGGGAAAAAATGGAATATTTTTGTTATCTAGGGGACATAATTATCACCTAAAGCTCAAATGGTTGCAGATGCTTACTGTTAACACAAAGTGGTTTTTTGTTTGTTTGTTTTTTAAATATGCTCTCCAGTCAAAAGATTCAATTTTATGCATGGATGTGCATACCTAAGGTGTTATGCTTACTAAAAAGTTCAGTCGCTTAGAGATACTAAAAGGGAACATATTTCGCTGAGTTGTTTGGTTTCATTAAATCCTTCCTCCTATACAAGAGGCCTATACATTTAATGACAAAGTTTATAAGACAATGGCATACATCTTTTATTGACCTCTCATGTCTTCATTGCTTGAATCTGATCTGGTAATAAAAAGAAAGAGTTAGTCTTAAACACAAGGAAGATGAATTCTTGCTGTATTTAAATTTTTGAAAATATCAGCCAGCATATTGAGGCTATAGAATTACATGAAATAATAAATAATAAAAGGAGACAATGCAGTTTGACTGGTTCTTTCATCTACTTTTGAACTTCCTCCATAGCCAAGTAACTTTCTCCCAGGTTGCTCATGAAAAAGGAAACAATTTCAGCAGAATTCCATTTTAGCCTCTTTTAGGCATTTCAGACTAAGCTCCTTAGCAGCTATGAGTGCTAAAAGATTTAAATTTTGTTCCTGCATAATTCACATGAGAATGTGCTCTCAATGACCACACTTCTCCATATTGTTGCCTGATGGCAGCTTCTGAATAAGCTTCCAACATTTCCTTAGCTACCATATATATACTACATCCCTAGTACAAAATGTGGAAAGCAGTAGACTGATATGTTCAGTATTGCTAAAGAGAAAAGACACCATCACATTTCCCTCCCAAAAAACAGTGGGCTATCTATAAGGGGGTATGAGAAAAGTACCTAATAAAAGCATGACTATTGATAAGGCAAGTACGTTCATTAAAACAGGCGACTGCTCCTCTACAGAGGCGTTTATGACACCCACACAGTGTAATTTAGGGAGTGATGCAACGTAGGGCTGCGGTTTCCAAATCCCCATCCCCGCAGCACTGTCAGAATGGACTAGAAAATGGCAGTAGAAATTCACTCTTGAAATACAGAAGAAAAAAAAAAAACACCCAAGATCTCAGTCCATTAAACATATGACTGTCAAACAGTCCAGCTTAAACCTCAACCCCCTAAGCTTTATGTGAGGGAGTTAGAAGGAACTCTTTCAGATAAAACTCATCCATGAATAATTTTAGCTCAGAAAGCCAATAGCTATGAAGTTTTACAAATGAATAACAGCAGAGCTGGGTAGTGATACTTGAAGAATATACATTAACAGCTTAATTAAATATTTTCTGACAAAATATTTAGACAATCATTAGAGATCTTTCGACTAGCTTGAAACTATGTACAAAATCACCCACTCCAAATTTGGATTGAAAGCACTTTAGAAGATTCCTGGAAATCTGCCTTCTGAGATAGGATTCAGAAGGGAAGGAAACTTGGTAGTAAGCTTTCTATTTTCCATCATGGAAAGGTTTTACATCGTGGAGAATACACCTTTCCTTCTGTGGGGATGCAGACCACTGTAAATACTATTTTTTGGCTAGTTCCCCTTGCTCTGAAAGCACAACCAAACAGTTCAGTTTTATGTAATACAATCTTCCTAATTAGCAGTAAGGACTCTAAGTAGAAAGGACAAGCCGGCGTCCCGGTAAGTGGAGATAGTGTCAGTCACGAAGGATGCCATGTATGATTTACTGCCGTTCGAAGGGAGAGATTTAGCCGCTCTGACTCCAGAGCATTACTGACATCTAGCGGCTTCAGCAGAGCAGGACACCTCAAGGCAGCTAAAGTGTCGTGGCCACGTTTTGTGCTCAGATTCAAAGCATGCTACACCATCTAATACACCCACAATTTAAGCTACATACTACTAGACTAAGGAAGCTATAATTACAGCAGGTCTGCCAGAACAACATCACACTTCACTATTCTATATATCTAGCAGTGCCTGGGAGGACAAAAGAAACCACGTCTTGATCAATACAACATATGGTAATACACAGCATCTACACCAACTTGGTAATTAGAAAAGTGTACCTAACATATGATCTAATCCAGATCTGATATTTTTTACTTAGTTATGAATATCTGCATATGATACAATGCATATGAAGTAACTTGTTCTTATTTCGGGTCTAGATTAAAAACTGGAGATGAAAAATGGTATGGTTATCCACACATCCCTTTCCTGTTTTTCCAGCCTGCTTATTCTGCATTTCAAGATGCTTAACATTATGTAAGGAAAACTGAAACAGGACAGTATGTGTAAACACAGAACAGTCTGAACTACCACAACAATAATTTGAAGCTCAGGAGAAGCTTGTGTTAATATTGTCTGTAAGAAACAGCATTGCACTGCTCTCAAGAATGTATGTTTACCCTCCACACTCTCTTGCCAGAGGAACTGACATGGTCTTTCTGTGTATGTTAAGGAGATGAATGAAAGACGAATATCATATACAGCGTCAATACTCACTGTGTGATTTGATCTGATAGCACAAGCGGACAGAAAGAAAACAAAGGAAGTAATAAAGAACAAAAACTTACAAAATGGTACAGCTTAATGACATTAAAATATAGGAAGAAAAAGCAGGATATACCTTGGAGCCAATCCACACCTTCTTGTAATCCTTCTCCTTTGAGAGCATCACTGGCACTAAAAGAAATAATGAAACAACTCACTAAAACATTGCAAAGAAACAAGTTTTAGTGGATTCTTTATGCCTATATATATATGCGCACACACACACATACACGCCCTGTAATTCACAGAATTGAAACATATCATCAGCTACAGTTTACAAAAATATTCTTAACATGGAGAAGTAGCTTTTCTAATTACATATTCTATTGCAAATTCCCAACATGGGAGCATGATTTCAAGATGTGATCTGTTTCATTGTTGAGTAACCACTCTTGTTTCAAGGCAGGGGAAAAATTTCTAAACTACGTGAGGGGTTCCAGAAGAGCGCCTACCTAAGACAGCTTGTTCCACTGCAGGTGTACTGAGGTAATGCCCTCTGCAGACAAAGCTATGAAGGAGGTTTCTATTACCCATGGTAACGGCGATGAAACCTTCTCTCTTTCTAGCCATCTCTTAAACAGAGGGGCTGTTGGAATGCGGGAGGAGAAAAGCATAGCATGTACTTCACCCTAACATAGAATCATAGAATGGTTGAGGTTGGAAGGGACCTCTAGAGATCATCTAGTCCAACCCCCCTGCACACTCAGGGTCACCTAGAGCACGTGGCACAGGACTGCATCCAAGCGGGTTTTGAAGATCTCCAGAGAAGGAGACTCCACAACCTCTCCGGGCAGCCTGTTCCAGCGCTCTGTCACCCTCTGCCACGGGATCCTGTCAACATGTATTAATATTTAGGCTACATTGAGAAGACTGCGTAAGCAAGTACCTAAAATGGAAAATTAAGTTTTTAGCAGCTGATAGTTGCTGATATTTTTCCCTTACAGTTACAATAACTGAAAATTTTAACAAAAAATCTAAGTTCTATAAAATACACCTGAAAAAGCAAAAAAACAAAAACAAAAACAAAAAAAACCTTGCTCTTAAAACAGTATATTAGAGTGAAAAAAGAAACAACAACAAAAATCTACCACCAACTCCCCTCCCCCGCCAAAAAAAAAAAAGTATATTAGAGTAGAACAATACTTTCCCCGTGAATTACACAAGAACAGTTTACTAGGTAGCCTTTCATCCCTATGGATTTTACTAGGGTTATCGAAGAGTGGAAGAAAACAATTCTAATAGGTTTTACCACTGGTATTGTGAATCGTGCAGTTCTAGCAGCAACACTAATAACTGTTCTGCTCAATTTCCCAGTAATAATAATGGTAACTATTGTTCCAATTAGGATGCCGATTCCTGACTTCACTGTTAGTCCTCCACCATTTCATTATTTGGGTTACAGTTTTCTTTTGATTTTTTTTCCAGTTCAGTCCTATATTGCATTTTTCTTTCAAAACACATTTCTACCAAGTGCTGTAATGTTACTGCTGTTTCCATAAATGATTGCACAGCATTTGATCTGGCTAATATCATTAATGTTATATAATCCTGAGTGCATGACAGTGTCAAAATACAAATGTACAGACTAGAATCAGTAGAAGTAGGGTAGAAATAGCAGTTTACCAGATGTGCCAGGGTTTGTCTTTGATGTTTTCTAACGACAATAACTGAGATACTTTCACAGATGATATTGCATCCCTGAGGTCCATCTTGTTAGCAAAGAACAGAATAGGCAGTCGACGGTGCTTAACATCTAGGCATAAGCAGAAGTAGAACTACCACAATATGTTGCAACAGTTGGTCTCTGCAAGTAATAAACTGCAAACAGTAAACGGGGATATTTTGCTCACCTGTAATTACAATTCTTGAAGGGCTGTATCCTAACATGATGCACACTGTGGTGTCACGTGGCCTCTGATGCAAACTTCAAGAATGCTCCCAAAATTTCTGGTAGGTCTTTGAACCTTTCAAGTTCTCTCTCCCCCCCCCCACCCACCCACCATATACATTAAGTGTAAATTTCTGCTCAAGTTAAGGAAGAGGAGATCAAACAACTACCTACAAATATTACCCATAACTGTTCAGTGATGACTGGGTATTTAAAATGGACAGAAAAGCAATGTGTACCCGTGCACACTCGTATCTTGCATACCCGTGTAAGAGTTTTGCATTAAGACAGTCTAAATGACCCTTTAGCATACTGGGCACTGTCGCTTACTTTTTTGAAGTTCACAGAATTAAAAACAAAACCAATAAAAACAAAAAACAAACCAAAACAAAACAAAAAAAAAAACAAACCCCGCAAACCTCTGTACACCCCTTATCCCACCTTCATTGGAACAAAGGCTTCTTTTCCAGAAGCTCTTCTCAGCTACAGGCAGGAAGCACCGATCAAACCAAAGACACTGGATCACTGTTAATTCCTGGCCTACTTATACATATAAAAGTGCAAGAAGAGATAACTTGCTTGTAGATATCTGAATAAACTAACTAGACCATCCTTGGAACCCCGGGAAGGGCATAAGGCTCTATGATTACTATAGTAAGAATCAAAATCACTGGAAGGAAACAAAGCATACTCTCTCCAATCTAGTTTTAAGAGACTAGACAGATAGATTGAAAGGAACACGCTTGCACAAAACTGACAACAAATTACTAGAATCAGAAGTAACTGTGAACATTTTTTATGTGACAAAAAAAAAAGATTAACTACAGGATCAAACAAAACCTGAGTTTTTCAATCAATCTTCATAGCAGAAAAAAAAAAGTGATGATAACTAACCTATGGACTCTTTTTAAGATAGTAAAATTAAAGAATGAACAACAAATTCAATTAACAAACAAGTCATTGAAGAAGTTATTTCACATAGGAAAAAAGCTAGGACCTTGTCAACTCCCTCTACTCAACCTTTCCACCTAACAGGTGAAGATAACACCATTAGAATCTATACTGAGAGGTCATGAGTGCTTACCAAAAAGGCTAACAATTTTTTACAGCTTTCTTCCTCCTCTGACGGATGAATTTTCTTTTCCTGATATCCTTTAACATAAATCAAAAGCTTAAAACTACAAAAGCAGAGCATCATTAAATCTCTGCTTTGGTTTCACAGTTGAACAGCTTTTCTGGTTTTGTTTTCTGACTGAACATCCTACAGCAACTGAAAGTATAATTAACTGAACTATCATACTCACAGGTTGCAGCTTATGCATATATTAAAAACAAAGAGATCAGTTTAAGGAACTTGCAGTGTTTCTTACAGCAATTACAATGGGCCAAAACAGTCATAAATTTTTACTTAAAAGATATTCGTAGAATAAAACGAAGGTCAGATATTCCCACAGATACACAGCATTTCCTAGTGTACCTACACAGTGCTTTGCTCTTCCCCTCCTGTTTTTCCACAGTCATTAACATAAAAGCTAGAATTTTCTAATTGCAAATAGTTACACATTAACACATTAAAAATAAACCGTATAAACTAATAAGCTAGAACCCTAAACAATAAAGATAGGTGTATCTCAAATTCACAGAAGTTTCAGGTTATTTTAGAAGCATGTGCTGGAGGTCAAGTAACCCAACAGTCCATATCTAAACGAGGAAATTAAAGACTATGATCTTGCAAAACAATGAAGAATGCTTGTTTTGATAAACAATTAAAAATATAAGAGATCATTATAAAACCCATTATTTGTAGATTTTTTCCACTTAAATAAGTAAAATAATTTACAGCTCTGATTTATAAAGCAGCCCCACCTAGCACAATCTCTAACATTACTAATGCAATGCATCACACTACATTTTGATCATTCCCTTTCACCCGGCCACTTCATGCAAAATCTGGCAAAAACAGATGAAACCTTCTACTTCACTGGCAGATTGCTAAGCCTTTCAAATCCAGGGATTGACTCAAGGCTGCTAACCACCATTCAAATAAATCTAAATTTTCTTTAAGTAAACACACACATTTAAGCGCTCCAGGAAGTCCGCAAAGACAGAAGGATACAAGGGGAAAAAGCAGGCTGTGTGAGGGGAAGGGTAGAACAGTAATGAAAAACAAAAGTATTGCTGTGCTAGTAAAATATCTATGGACTTTGTTAATATCTTCTTTAATCAAGCATCACTAGAAGATTCTTCATTCTCTTTGGATCTAGCATTAAGACCTATCAAAATCCAGAATGATTTTCCAGAACAGGAACACTATAGGTGCATTTCTGCTGAGCTACCCCACGGCAACAAAACACAAAACTGCCCTTTCCTGACACCAAGAAACTTGCTGGGTGGCTACAACCGTGATCTTTCAGAACTAGATGACACTACCGTTTCAGAAGCAGGAGAGCACTGCCTTATGAGATCATCATTACTAACCGATTAGTATCTAAACAAAAAAAAATCCCACCTAATTTTGCATCTTGCTGTCCTTAACATTTACATCTACTTACCCTATAATAAATCAGCTCCTTATTATACAGATTTTCACCTAATACTCATTCCCATCCTTTGTCCTGTGTGGCTTCCACTTCACCAAAAGAATTGCCTTTTAACCACTGTGGTTGATTACTGCCTTGTTACAAAGTTCACCAGGCTGCCTGTAATCTACCTGCAGCTTTTGGCTCACTAAGCCTTCCCTTTGTTTTTTGCATGACTGTCTTGTTTTCTGCCTGCATTTGTACTGGCCCAAATCCTTGAACATGAAATGAAGAGGGCCCAGTCAGCACACGCACAGCCAGCTACAGCATCTCTGGAATGAAATTATGTATTACGTGGTCTGCATGGAAAATAAAACCAGAGGCTCATAATTGCCCATATCACATACTACTATTCCTTGTTAGAGACACTGAAGTCAGCTTTTCCTTTTTTCCTTTTGCTCCGCCAGAAGTTAAGAATCAACAAGTGTAAGAAATAAAAGACACATTATAGAATGATTTCACTTTTAAAATTTCCTGCATGTAGTTTTATGCTCTGCTTAGTCAGAGAAACTAACTTGCTGAAAGACATCTCGAGAGTTACTTAATACTTACAAATACACAATTTAGTTGCAATAATATCAACCATATGAAAGAAGAAATAGGGACAAAGTCAGCAATTCTCAAAACTTAATAAAAAATCAACTAAAAAAACAACCCTAAAACCAAACTCTTCTTCATGAATCCTCCCACATCCCATTCTATCCCAGAACCTTCTGTAGACAGCTGGAACTGACTGGTACAATGATCCATCACTATACCTGGCTACAATGTAATTAAAAAACAAGCAAACAAACAAACAAAGCTTCTCACACTTTAAAAATCTAATGACAATGAAAAAAAAAAGAAATTTTACATTAGAGAAATTAACAGCTATCCTGGAAATGTTTGTGGTATTTGTTAGTGTCCGTATACAAGCTCTCCAATTTCCTTAAGTCTCAAAATTTATTCTTTGTCAAAACAACATGACTTTTGGTCTACAACGATTAATTAGGGACCAATCCAACTCATAACTCAATGATCAAAGTCTAAATCTGAATAGGTGTGAAACTATTCAAGAGTACCATTTTTATTCTAGTATTCATGAATGGCTAATATATTTGTAAAACAGTCATCATGCAGAATGTGTGAAGCAAGAAGTTTTTCTCCTAAGACAATGTAACAAGTACAGAGAGAGAAGGGGGAAAGAAAAGCCTCCTCACCTGGATGATTCAGAAGAGTGTCAAGTTCTTCTTTGGCCACAACCATTCTTAATTTGTCACTGCTATCAATGACAAAAATAATGGCTTGGCCTTCTCTGTATAACATAAAAAGAGCAAAGAGGCACATTATAGGTTCTCTTAAATTTTGGTTAAGAAAATGCTTTAGCAGAAACACCAAAAAGAACAAACAAGCCTGATATTTTTCCCTTCTATTTCCTGTTGATATTTATCACTAATATTTAAATCTAGGCCTATTAATGAAATTTAGTCTTTTGGTTACCAGCATAGAGGCATTCTGAGAAATGAGGTTGCCAGTTTTGTAAGTTTACAAGCAACCTCCAGAAAATCTTGATTTCGCTATTGAGGCAGAAAATTCACCTCTGAAATGTAACCAACTTCAATGCTGATATGGTAAATATGCAAGGAAAACCTCAAGAGTTAGGTTTTGGTCAAAATGCTTTAGTTCCTAAACTAAGACAGGTTTAGTTAGAGGAAGCTCAATTATCCTTTTTTAAAATAATGCGACCTCTGCAGTCTCAACAACTTTGACAAAAGTGTTGTGTTGTGTGTGTTGTGGCTGCACAAACAGTATCAGATTTTTTGGCTCTGAGTTTCACATGTGAGAACTTTCAACTTTCAGAACCATTAACACATTTTCCTTGGTGATATGACAAGCGATGCAATACCTATAATTGCTATGCAGCTCATGATTTCAGGGTATTATTGATATTTTATGACAATGCTCCATTTTGTATTTGAAGCCAAAGTCTAACCGTTCATCTGAATTCATCAAAGAACCACAAAAAGAGTATTTTTCATTCGGTTAATACATATAAATATGTATTTCTCCTTCATTTTGCATTTCCAAGAGAGATCATTACTAATGCAATCTCACCTCTTCAGCATCATGCACCTTCTTCATAATTTGATAAGAAATAATTCTAGACCTACTGAATAACAGAAATAACTTGATCAGCCTATGATCGTGTGGGAAGACCTATTCTGTTTTGAGGTACTGTAAATAAAGCTGCATATTAGCTGAGAACATCTAAATATTTTTCATGAACATACAAAACTTCTATAGAGGGATCAAGAATTCTAGGATACATATGCTACCCCAGAATAACTTTGCAAACATGTCACAGTAGCTGGAACACAACATAAGCTTAAAAATCTTTAAGAGAAACATACTTCGAGAACATTGTAGGAGATAGTTCCAAGCTAAAAAGGAGAACAGCTTTAGGTACTCTGAAGCACCTGCTTACACACAAACATTTGATAAGATTTAATTGCCATTTTGCTATTCTTGCAAAATTAAATATTGCTTAACTTTATAGCCAAAACATAGTACATCTTTATGCCTATATTATATCTAGCTAAGTTAAATGAGATATTTGACTACTGCACTGAATCAGAAAAGTGGACAAAATCGTACATTTCACTGCCAGCATTACCCAAGAAATTCCCTTTTAGAAAAATCATAAACACACTAAAAGCAGTTTATGGCACACTAGGGATAGTTGCTGCATTAAAGATAAGAGCCAGAAAAAATATTTTAACCAGCGTTTTGAGAGCAGCTTAAGGAAATCCGTCACTGAAATTCAAATGAAGTTTTGGGAGATGCACTTGTGAACTATTCTGAAAATTTCTTCCTCATACAAGTTTCATATTAATGTATTTCTGCAGCAGAAGATGATGACAGACCTTAGAGTAAAAGTTAATGCTGCCACATGAAACAGGCATGAATATAAAATATTCAAGGTAAAGAACTCAAGCTATTTCTATGGGATTTACTGTGCCGTTCACCTTAGGCCAAGAACAGGCTTACGAGAGTAACAATGAAAGAACAAATATGAAGCTTCAAATTTTGTTAGAAGTAAATCAAATATGATAAAGAGGTGTTTACATAATACTATCATATTGGTACTACTTATTGGTAGAAATACAGTGAATACCCTGCTTAATGAATAACATTTACAGAATATTTAGTTGGGTTCTTGGTTACATATGCCTTATACTGTAAGGTATCTCACTTCCCCTTTAACAATCTCTGCCATCAGTTAACATCTTTGGGAACCTAAATCACACATAGAGAGAAGAATAGGAAGGTAAGATACCCAGCTTACCCTATCTCCTTCTCCCGCCCCCCAGCCCCAGGATGGAGTTTTTTGCTATATCTCATCTCTAGTATGTTAAAAATTTGGGTTAACAAGAAGTCCCCTGAACTACTCTGTTTAACAACATGTCCAAATTTTCCTTTTTCAGAAAAAAAAAGTTGTGATAATACAGAATGATCTCCTGTGGAACACGGGTCTTCTCTGAACCACTTCTAACCACGAGGTATTATCATACTTTGATTAAATAACATCAATGTCAGCTAACAGGAACAACAATAATTAACAGGCAATAAAATAAATGATATGCTTACTTGTAGTAGTGTTCCCAGAGATTTCTGTATCTGCCTTGGCCTGACATATCGAACACTGTGAAAGACAAACTGCAAAAACAAAACAAAACAAAAAAAAGTGTATGAGGCACAGAAATAAAAAACAAAACTGCAAAGAAAGTATTTTTTGTTACCTTGACAAGAAAAAAAAAGGGCCAAAAAAAAAAAAAACCCAGCTTGAATTCTAATCAAATGGAAAAGATTTCAAAAGGAACTTTGGTACTATATCTGATTTCACAATATTGTACCCAGCTTTGTGGTCTTTCTATAGAAAGATTTCACAATAAAAAGTTTATATATTGTTTGCATATTTTCTACATACAAGAACTAAATTGGTTATAAAATTACATCAAATATGACATAAGCTCTCATTCAGGCTCTCCTATTATGACATAAATATATAACAGATATAATACCTATCAATTTTACATGTCAGCTCAAGAGAAAAATATTTTCTTGCAGATTTCGAATCCAATGGGGCATGCTACTTGGTTTGAAGCCTCACTGCACCCTTTAAAAATATATTGTGAAGGTTGAAGAAATAAAAATAACTAATATCATGTCCTTCAAACATCTTTGTCTCATCACTTCACATTTGTGTATCCCAGCTTTCCTTACAGCTCAGCCTTTGTTCCACTAATAATTTTGTCTTCCTTTTCCTGACCTTTGCCCCTGCCATCTTTATACTTCTGAGGCTGTAAACACTATTTTTTATTTAATAAGATTAAAATGCAATCTCTTCAGAGTCTCTCCAGTGCCAGTGCTTAATGGAATACAGGCTACTCTCCAAGCAACTGACCTTTTTCAAGTCTCTAAAAGTGCCTGATTCACAAATTCCTTGGGAAATCAGATGCACTATTGCAAAATTTTCTGCACACAGTTTTATAGCACCACATAACATTAAATAGGGTCTAACACTGCCACTCCTGAATCACTATTAGGACACCAGGATACCACAACATTTCAAACAGCAAACTGAATAATATTGCATGATACTACCACACATTATACTTAACAGTATCACACTGAAAGAGCAAAATAGTCCTATTACATGTATATTCAGGTTTATCGTTAAAACAAACAAATGAAAGAAGGCATATTACCTGGATGTCTTGAATTTCTCTATACTGAATCCTATTGTTGGAACTATGTCTTGAGTTTGAGCCTTTAAAAAAATATATATATTTTAAATTCAAGTTAAAAAACATGAAACTATAGAAATCTATGCAAAAGCATGAATATATTACACATCTTTCTGACCCTCCCCCCCACACCAAACTCTGTGCACTCTGTGCAATACAAACTTTCCAGAAATCTAGGTAGTGTGTATTAAATAAGTTCCCAGAAAAGAACTATAATTCAAGATCAAAGTTTGGTATTTTCTAGGAAACAAAAATATGGATACTATTGGATAAAAGTTAGGGATGGAAGACATTTCAGCCTTAAGAGTGAAATCTCTGGCTTTTACACTAGAATTACTGCGTTCACATGCGTATACTCCCTATGAAATAAATATGTGATATGTTAACAAGGAACATGACAGCTTAAAGAGTTACCACTGACATCAAAGTATTTTTGCACTCTGAAGATCACAGTTTTGTTTGGGTTGAGACTGTGAAGTATCCCAAGCCTCTTGGATAACAGGGGACATAAGTCTATCAATACACTACATTTGCCATACTCATATCAAAAGGAACCCATCTGACATGGGAAAGTATACAGCAGAGATAACGCAATGACCTCATTGTAGTTCTATTCAAACTATTAGATCAGTAGAGGAAACCACTATTTACCAGAAAGGAAAGCCAAAATATACAGGTTTACTAATAGACTGACAAACAGGCCTACTGTTGCACCATCAAAGCAACTTATCAGCTAAGTTGGTACAACCAAACAACTTCTCTAAGGAGCAAAGATATTGAGCAGGAAGAAAACTGACACTGGCAGATTATAAAGCTGCCTCACAAAGTATCATAAAATCCCTTTTACAGACTTTCTACAGCCTCTTATTACAAAGACTATCTATAAACACTTGACTCCTCCTCACATACAAGTGAAACAAGCTTAGTTTGTTTCACTGTACCTTCATTATGAAAAAAAAGGTATTTCAGCAATCATAATCAGTTTTTCAACAGTTTCTGTCATCAAGTGACTATTTGGTGTGAAGTAGAAGAGGTGCTATTTTTTAACATTTATTTCAAGCATATTTATCAGGCCTGACAGAGGTAACTGCAAACAGATGGAGAACAAAACAGAGGCATACACTTATTGCCTGTCAACTAACGTATCACTCCCAGGGCCAAGTAGCAGTTCTTAGGAACACTGGGTTGCAAGGGTGGGACTTACACAAGCAGCATGCAAATCAACCTTCCTAAAACATCAGATTAACTGAAAACATTCACAAGTAAATATCCATTCATGTGATTTGAAAAGTAAAGGAAAGTAAAGGAAGTATGAAAGGGAGTAAAGGAAATATGAAATTTTTACTTTACTTGAATAATTCTCTTCTCCTATACCCATCACTGTGATAAATCTTGAAGTTTTCAACCCTAGTTCTGAATCTTTTGCTATTTAATGCATGACTCTGCTACAATGACTCTGCTACAATAAAACTCTGCTACAATGAAGGTTTCAAAAATATACATATAAAAATATTATTTGCCCAATTCAAATCATATCTTTTCCTCAATCAACTGGCAACAGAGAGTAGTTAGTTTTATAATTCTATTTAATTTTCAGTGGAAGAATAATTCCTATGAAAGGAATAGTAGCAGGCTCTCTAACAAGTTCGAGTTTTAAACTATGTTCATTTGTACTCTACAGAAAAAAAAAACAAATGAAAGTTAATGAACAAAAGCTGCATCCTCCTAGAAACAGAATTTAAGAGCATCTCAAACGCATATCATGGAGATGAACAAGCCTCTGTCTGTGAGCATGTCCCCCAAAATCCATATATTCTCATTCCTTAAGCAATTTTAATGGTTAAAACAGTTCCTTAAAGGCAAGGTAGTTCTACTATATTCTGCTCAAGATACTATAAGTCTAACTGATACTCCTTTTAAAGTTACCCTACTCCCAAAATTCTGAATTCAATTTGCATCTCTCGCTATTTTCTATTTTTATTACATACTAAATAGTAAGACTTTACAGCAAAGGTAATAAATATAGACAAAGACAGGTTGTTACAGAACTGCATTCATCTAATGTTTGGTACATATATTGTAATTGCAAATCTGTACCATTTAAGTGACTTAAGAATGTTTCAGATCCTAATTTCAGCCATTATAAACACTTTCTTACGGTGTGATCTTTGAAATACTGCCACATTAGCAGTGTTGTTTTTAGTTTTCATAACATGCATGCAAATACTCACAATTAACTTTAGTTAATTTGAACTAATATACATTTTTTCTACTGCATGAAATAAAAAAGCCAAAAACTCAGCACTCCTCCATAGTCATATTTAGTATAACAGCATGCAAAAACAGTTTAAATAGACATCAACTCTGCAGTAAAGAAGTTACCAGGGAATTAAGTAGGTTACTTACATTTGAAGGTTTAAGTTTATTTATAATTGTCGTTTTGCCACTGTTGTCCAAACCAAGGCACAAAACATGAACTTCCTTTTTCTTCAGTCCAAGCCATCCTGCTAGTTTGTCAAATAATCCCATAATTCTTGCTCAAATATGCAGAAATCACCTGTTCAGAAGATCACAGAAGGAAATAACTGTTTAAAAACTGTTTCAAGTACAGTGGTGCTAACACAGTAGGTGGGCATGTGTTAAGATGTCCTTAAACTTTTAAAAGAAGGGTTTGAATAAGACACTATCTGAACACTGTCACAGCAGGTTTGCCTGGTACACTAAGTAAATGGGGCGTAAGCTGATTATAGCGAAGGAGCCTTGATACAAAAGTAGATTGTCCGTTTATAGCCTTGTCAATATAACAGTGTCCTTGAGTCACTGGGCAACAATATTGGCATCACTCTAAGTATTCCAAATAGCAGCACAAATATCACACCGACACTATCTGAACACTGTCACAGCAGGTTTGCCTGGTACACTAAGTAAATGGGGCGTAAGCTGATTATAGCGAAGGAGCCTTGATACAAAAGTAGATTGTCCGTTTATAGCCTTGTCAATATAACAGTGTCCTTGAGTCACTGGGCAACAATATTGGCATCACTCTAAGTATTCCAAATAGCAGCACAAATATCACACCTCCTTACCATCCACTGAACTGAAAGAAAAAAAAAAAAGGTAATTGCATTTTAATTCAAAATGTCAGAAACACAGTCAGTTATAACTCAGATAACAAAGCGACACAGTATTTGCCTTCTTAAGCACCTGCTATGTGATGTACTGTAATCAGAATAAAGTATGGTCTGTCAATTCAACTGAAACGTTAATTTTAACAGCTTTGCCGATATTAACACATATAAATTAGGTACTCACTCACTGTAAGTAAAATCTGATTATAATAGATTCAAGGGATATGAGGCTAGACAACATAACACTCGGCTGCAGGTCAGGTGGAAGCCAAACTGCTATTCCTGCCCAGAAGCTGTCTGATTGAAGGTACCTGGCAGTAACACATGAGAGGAAGCTCACTTATATTATTGTGTTCTCTTGCAGCACCTAACTGAACATGGTTTGCAAGAATAACCCTTGTACATTCTAAATAACTACCACTGAGTAGTGATAGTTCAACACCACCTTCAACAATCAACAACAATCTGAAAACAAAGATTAGTAGCACACTCAACAAAGTACTTAATTCATGCTAAAAGAATTTTGTGATTCCTATTTTTAATTAAAACACACTTTTCTCTGCACAACTAAGATTGAATGCCTATACTCTGGAGGATAAAAGGTTTCCAGCACAAAAATATTTTATTACAAAATTTTCAATAGGAAATATTGACTTTTACTGTAACTTACTTTAAGCTGATTTGTAACAGCCTGTAATGGAGAGATCACTCAACTATTAAATGGCTGAGCAAAAAAGCACATCAAAAAATACCACAAATGCAGAAGCTTTAGAAGGGTTTTTGACTATAAGCACTGCTAATTTCTGCAGAAATGCTACTTTTTTTCACTAATTAAAAGGTGATGACTACAGAATATTCTGGAAGATGTTGCGGGAAGACTTCTGAAAGAACAAAGATTACATTTCATTTTTCCAGGCCTAAATACTCTAGGCTATGCGCAACCTCCCTGTGTCTCTCAATGAATGAAAGTAACTCAACAAAAGAGCAGGCAAATAGGCATCTCCCCGATCTCATATGTTCATCCACTATATTGAAGGTTGAAATGAGAAAAGGCTACCATACAGGGAAGGAGGAGTGAATCTTGTAGACACTCTTAAATGGAAGAGGAAAAAAAAAAAACACAAAAACTTGGATGTTTCTGGTTCACATTTTATCTCCAAGCCCAAAATGCATTCTTCAAAAACACTTTCTAGCAACATGTTAATTATGGCCATTTTATCTAAAAAAAACTCTTATAACAACTGCGAAGGAGAAAAATTACTTTTGGTTACTTAGCCCTCTCCCCAGCTAAAAAAGAACTACAGGTGAAAAGAGCAGCTCCCTGGAACAAATGAAACATAGTCAATTGAAAAGGCAAGCATTTGGAAAAACTGATAAGAAACACAGGAATTTCACTGGACACCAGATTTGCATTCAGCTGACATAAGAGGTGATGCTATTATTGAGGTAACTTGCATCTGAAGTACCTAAGATTCTTTTCTTGCCAACTACTACTTAGACTATGACACTAAATAGGATATAATGTTAGACTGATTCTTAAATTATTTAAAATAGAGTTTGGTCAAATACCTTGCTCCCAAAGTCCATGAATTGATAACAGCCTACAATCTAAATCAAATCTGTTTCAGGCATCAATGACTGATATTCACTGTGAATAACCAGGGCGTGAAACTCTTGAGGAAGACAAACTGCTCACACAAGGCACTTTCTAGAACAGCAGGGACTAACCAGGCTGTGCGGCAGCACCAACTGAGACATACAGTCCTGCAGGGCCTCAAGCAAGTGATGCCTTGGCTCTGCCACCTCTTTTCTGTAACTGCCAAGCCGTGCATCACAACCTGCCACCCCGGTTATCAGCAGTAAGCACGTGCTACACAAAGCGGGTATGTGGAGTTTTTGAGTGGGTGATCAGGCCAGTCTTCAGAGACCTCTTCCAAACTCCATTAAATTGGATTATCTAAATTATCCAGATTATTTGTAATTATTTACATTAAACGCTGAAATACCAGAGCTGCCCGGGCCACCCTAATGAGGCCCTTGAGGAATAGTATTATCTAAAACTTCAACTACCAGGGTCATTTTGACCCCCCAACTCTCACAGCAAGAGAGAGAGTAGCCCCATGCCCTCCAGGAACCGAGCGGAGCCCGGAGCCGGAAGGAGCCCGGAGCGCTAGGAGCAAGCGACCCGGCTGCTCAGCACGGCCTGGAGGACGGGGCCTCTCCGCCGCTCCCGCCGCGGCGGCTCCCAAGGCTCCGGGGGCG